GGAAAGAGAGGGAAGAGAGGAACGTGCATTAATCGGAATTAAACGTTACGATAAAGGGTTCACACCGACGTTAATGACATTTATTAAAATTTTTGTCGTGCTCTAGTATCTCTCGATATGCAAACTACAGAGAGTTTGGAGACGAATTTATTCGGGCCAAGATGACGCTAATATTTCGTCTCCTATCTCCCTTTTGCTTTTTTTCTCTCTCTCTCTCTTTCTCTCATTCTCTTATATTCTTTATATGACTTCCGTTCTCGTCGTTGTCTTGTTAAATAAGTAAAAGACGCGAAACAAAGCCAGGAATCAGCTCGTATCTCGGAGTTGCGTTTGTGCTGTCGGTCGCATTACGAAAATCCGGACTGCTTTTTAAGATTCTTGGACTGGGGCTTCACCGTAGAGTCGGAAATTACCCGAATTTCGATGCGGAAATCGGGGGTGAAGAGGTGGAGGTGGGACGACGGAGCTTAAGCCCGACCGAATAATCGACGGCGAAATAATTTGAATATTTTACGCTCGTCTGTAGCGAATAATATGTGCACGGGACGAGACGAGACGAGACGAGACGAGACGAGACAATGGGAAACAATCGAATTCAGGACGGTATCGCCGATAAATCCGCTCCGACGTCTGGCGCAGAGTGTTGCGCTTCCGTGCGCGGACATTTGATTTATAAATACGCGCCGGGCGTATTGCATCTATTCGGGTGATAAATAATGCTAATAACAACCCGGCGCTATTTGAAATATTTCAGTGTCGGATTTGCCGGAGACGTCGATGCGCGCTCACGAGGATACCGAGAGACGCTCGTCCTTCAAGATGTCGAGGAGCAGAGATCCCTGCTTCGTCGCATCCTAGAGCCGGTAAACGTCTGCTGTTTCGGTGAGTAGTCACATATACATATATCTTCTTTTTCTTTCTTTATTTTTATTTTACGCTTAGAAATCGGTATTGATATTTAATAATCCGAGAGATCGACGTTGAGTTTTATATTAATTAAATAATGGGATCTGAAATATTTACAAGCCTCAATTATTTCGCGCTTTACAGGCGACAGCGTCGGCACGTGAATCGTAATTGCGCGCGTGAATATTTAAATCGTTTAATTATATTTACACCGCATTTAATTATAAATAGCGCGAGGATAATGATGACGCGCGGATTGCCGGCGACACGCCGATGCAGCCGCTATAAAAATCTGTTGCAATAGCAATCGCAACGTGTGGTAGTCGGTACGTCCGTCACGTTTCATCGGCTTTCGAAATACGTTTCGTAGAAAAATGGTTGGTAGAGATTGCGGAAAGTCGATTTACGTATGCGTATCATCTCCTATCTATGGTATATTCGTGACATCGTCATTCGCGTCCTATTATAGCACTGGCTCTGCAACGAGATTAATTTTGCGCTAATATTCAATATTCGCCGAAGCCGACGTTACTATTTTGTCATCATAAATGCGTTGTATTTCTCGAATGAAGCGAATAAAGTTTATAAACTCTGACGCTCATTTTATACGATACGTTATTATACGGAATCCCCGCGCGCGCGTTTTCCATTATTAAAATATTATTTAATTATTATAATTCTCTCTCGCGGCGCGTTATATATGTGTGTGTTATGAAAACAGTATATTTTATATTTGAGATTTGTAGTTTTGACAATTTATACGTTTTTTTTGTTCACGTACACATTCATAGTATATTGTACGTCCAAGTTTTTTGATTGAAACAGGAAATTGTGTCGATTAATATAAAATATGTACACTCTTGTCTCTGAAATTAAATTTGCGCGGGACAAATTTTTCCGGCGAAAATATTAATCTACGTCAAATGAAACGCTATGAAACGCGCGCGGGCTTAAAATAATTCGTGCCGTGATATCGAAAGCCGCAACATTGTTTTATTATACATAGAGACGCGCGCGCGAGACACGCTTTCATATTAAATTTAATGTCCCACCATAAACGCGTAACAAAATAAATAACATTTCTGGCAATGAGCGCGACAGATATATTACGTATATAATTATCAATATCGGAAATTTTTTCTATCAACACGATTACAATAAACGTAAAGCGCGAACGGACATAATGTAATCGCAATTATCGCGCAAACAAACTCTCTCGCGTGCTACATCATCGTATACGGAAACATGCGAGTGGCCGGTATTATTTTCCTGCCTCGTGTCACATTTTTGCGCATTGCAGCCGCATTAAATGATTCATGAATCTTACGACGTGTAATATTAAATATTTTAATTTAAAAAGTTAACTCTTATACACATACACATATCCGACGTACACATACTCGCCGCTGCGTCATATATAATGTTGCATATCGTTGAATAAAAACGTGATATTATGATTCATTCGATGATTTATGATTCTTCCATCGCAACGTTAAAATATATATCATAATATTAATTTTTATATTTATTAACGACCAGATTGATACACGCGCGAATACATACGTGATATAATTGTTATTACAACTAATTTTAGCCATATTCCGTATATTATCTTATCGTACACGAATGATCAATATTATTTTTCATTCGAAATCATGTCGTGTCGCATTTTCGCTGAATGCTACTGTGTAAACTAAATGATTTATGAATCTCTTTTTAACACACATATACATGTAATATTAAATATTGATATTTTTCATAATACATTGACATTTATAATTATAATTGTGTGGGATAAATTCTATTATGGTGTCATATTGATATTTATGAGCAAAATGACATGTACAAAATGTTACAGCTTTTAAATATTAGGTGAAAGAGGTATTTGAATAACAAAGAATATCCAAAAATATATATTAAATATTTGTACATATCTAATGTACCTTTTTCAATTTTATCGCCGCATTTCTCTCTTAATTTATTACGACGATAGATTACTTGAAGATACACGATCTCTAAAATACATCGGTCTTCCAGCTTTGGTAATTAAAAAATCCGGTCAGCTTAACCTCCGTAACTACTACTCCGCTAGGGTTAAGCAGTGATTTATTAATCCTCCCAATGGCCGTGTCCTCCCCAAATCCTCCTTCTTCCTCTCTCTCTCTCTCTCTCTCTCCCTTTCGACATCAATCGTTATCGTTGCCGTGCCGTCGTGTACACGGGATAATGAGGCCGCCACCCAATTTCGCGATGTGTGAATTCCGCATTGTTTCCCGCACCGTTTTCACAGGGACGGTGCAATTACCGTCCGGGCCTTAAATGGCCCTGGTTCTTCTCCTCCCTCGGCTCCTCGCTCGGGGGCGACGACATGGCACACGCGAAGACGGATTTCCTCTCGTAAAGTACGCGGCGCGGCGTCTCAAACGTAATTACTTTGGACTCGTGTCTACTTTGTTCATCGACGACGAAATCTTATTCTGCGCTAACGAGCAAAGCGAAACTTCCAAGCGGTCCCTGGTTCCCTTCTTTTCCTCGGATTTGTCCCGTCCCATCCCGTCCCGTCCCGCGCGCGCTTTTTTCCCCTTTTTTTACGTTGTAACGACGTTCGGACAAAGGACGTTAACAAAAGTAGACGAAAAAGGGGGCGACAGTGGAAGACGTCGGACGGGAAACGACGGGGGAAAGGGAAGGGAAGGAGAAGGGGAAGAAGCAAGACAAAGATAAAATAAAACGAGGGGAGTCCGGCGGCGCCGACGTCGACGTTGTCGTTGTCGTCGTCATTGTTGGGGGAAGGGAAGGGGGCGTTTTCCATCGCCAGGAGAACGCAAAGTGGGTCATCTCGGGGAAAAGTCCGTAAAAGCGTGAAACGCAAAAGTAAAACGACGACGCGGCGTGGACGCGACGGGGGTGCCGTTGATGCTGATATACTTCCGCCGATGATTTGCATAAAGTTCTGCCGCGAGAGACCAGGTCGACGTCGACGTTGACAACGAGAAGAAGGACGCGAGAGGTTTCGCTTTTCGCTCGTCCGAATTTTCGGTCATGAACGGGCGTTACATTTGCGATTGTTTCGAAAATTTTTGTGAAAACATTTTATTACTACATATATTGTTTTTTTTTTTTTTTTTTTTTTTTTTATCGAAAAAAATAGAGTTTGATGTGAAATGTCATGACGATTTGCAATTTAAATTTTTATATTACTATCCGTGCACGTTTACAGTATTCGAAATGCCCCGCAGACAGAAAGATTACATTACGAAATTATTTTAATAAATTGATGTTCTCGTTCTCATCTTTCCGGTGCCGTTCTTCTTTTCAACAGTTGAACGCGACACGGTCATTGTGTGCCTTACCGTGTAATCGGAAATTAGAAAACTTCAGGGTATTACTTTTCACTTAGCACGCGGGTGCATCGAGGGGAATTTTAAAAGCACATAGTGGAAATTTGAATTTTGCACGGGCGTCAAAGTGTTTACGAACAAATATAAGCTACGGTACGCGTATATAACATTTTACGCAAAGTGCGTAAATATCCCTCCTTTCGATGTCTGTCAATCATTTTTATGGAAAAGAGATATGAAAAAATAGATGGAAAGTACGTAAGAGATATATTCGCGGAAAAGAAGATATAGAATAAATATGCGGGTTGATAAGTCGCGCGGAAACATAATATTCTTTCTTCGATGCATTTTCGCTATTTTCTTGTGTTTGTTACAAAAGTTGGCGGCGAGCGGGCCGACAGAATCTCGCGATTGCTTTTTCTTCAAGCAAATGAATATTTCCGGGAAGTTTGCGCGGCGTAGCTCGCTGAGATTCGCGCGGTATACAGGCGGAGAGGCCAATGTAAGAAGGCGGTTAACGTAATTTACCGGTAACGAACAGTTCGAGCGAGTGTTATTGCGCCACGTGTAAGGAACCGGGCGCAACCTTCTTCACGTCGCGATTAATTCACCCCCCGCGCGCGTGCGGGGATGAACTCCTCGCTCCAAAACTTCGCCGGCGATAGGGAGTTTGTTTTCGTAAACGCTCGCGTCGAAAAGTTCTCGGATTATCCGGCGTACACGCCTCTGCCCTTTCGTTCGCTCGGGTTAACTTTTGTCGGAATTTTCGTGTGTCATTGTACCATCGATATAAAATCTCGTACGCGAATGATCAACGCGTGACAACGAGACATCGAAAAAAAAGTTATGTAAAAAGACAATTAAACGTAAGAGGATTATAATGTGTGTTTTATACAATATCGGAACTGTCCGTTACGTAATTTTAATGACGAATTTTTTGACAAGATAGAGAATCCCCTTTTTTGTTTTTTTTTTTTTTTTAGTTTATGCTTGTCAAATATAATACCCTGCGCGTTCGAGAGTTTATACGAGACGCAGAGAGATATTTTCTATAAAAAGAGCTCGCTCGTTTTGTTAACCTCGCATCGTTGAGCGACGAGATTTTTTTATAAATAATAATTACAAAAGAGAGAAAAATGGGTATCGACAATCGATGCATATATTGTCATGTGGAAAAAAAAAATGACGCGTGTTTCCGGTGCCGAATTACGAGTACGCGATTCTGAAGAGAGCAAGAGCGAGGGGGAGAGACCAAGCGCCCGTCTTTTTTTTTTCACGAACATAGACTAAAAGTTTTTCGAAAACTATGCTCTCGATAACAATATTTTTTCAGGAAAGCAGTATTGTGCGTTGTGAAAAAATATATATGCGCGAGACGGACGAATCGCGAATTTTTTGTTTTCGTTTTTCAGGTAGCAGAGCGAATGCAACTGCAGCGATTCGCGAAACGATTTTCCCGAACATTTCCTTTTTATGCGCGCGACATTGCGAGCGATGCGTGTTCGGAGATGCGGCTTCTTTTTTAAATCAAAAGAGGGACGCGGGAAACGGTGAGACGCAAAAAGAGAGACGACCCAAATCGCGTCAAATACGGGCGTATCTACGTCTGCGGGATAAAACGCGACTGCAGTTTTG